CGGGGTGAGGAAGCACCAGCGCGGGGTAAGGAAGCACCAGCGCGGGGTGAGGAAGCACCAGCGCGGGGTGAGGAAGCACCAGCGCGGGGTGAGGAAGCACCAGCGCGGGGTGAGGAAGCACCAGCGCAGGGTGAGGAAGCACCAGCGCGGGGGAGGAAGCACCAGCGCGGGGTGAGGAAGCACCAGCGCGGGGTGAGGAAGCACCAGCGCGGGGTGAGGAAGCACCAGCGCGGGGTGAGGAAGCACCAGCGCGGGGTGAGGAAGCACCAGCGCGGGGTGAGGAAGCACCAGCGCGGGGTGAGGAAGCACCAGCGCGGGGTGAGGAAGCACCAGCGCGGGGTGAGGAAGCACCAGCGCGGGGTGAGGAAGCACCAGCGCGGGGTGAGGAAGCACCAGCGCGGGGTGAGGAAGCACCAGCGCGGGGTGAGGAAGCACCAGCGCGGGGTGAGGAAGCACCAGCGCGGGGTGAGGAAGCACCAGCGCGGGGTGAGGAAGCACCAGCGCGGGGTGAGGAAGCACCAGCGCGGGGTGAGGAAGCACCATCGCGGGGTAAGGAAGCACCAGCGAGGGGTGAGGCAGCACCAGCGCGGGGTGAGGAAGCACCAGCGCGGGGTGAGGAAGCACCAGCGCGGGGTGAGGTAGGACCAGCGCTGGGTGAGGAAACACCAGCGCAGGGTGAGGAAGCACCAGCGCGGGGTGAGGAAGCACCAGCGCGGGGTGAGGAAGCACCAGCGCGGGGTGAGGAAGCACCAGCGCGGGGTGAGGAAGCACCAGCGCGGGGTGAGGAAGCACCAGCGCAGGGTGAGGCAGGAAAAGAGCAAGTTTAGGAGGACCCGAGGTATTGGAGGAATAATTTCCAAACAAATATTTTGATAAAATAATAATGTAAATAATTAATTGGATTAAATGCTAGAGAAGTGGACTGTAAAACTTTTAAATAATATTTGTATTATAATCCCTGCACATCTTTCAGGGAGTTGCACCAATAATGCTGCAACTTCCTGTATATGAATATTAATGTCATTGAATAATAAATTTCCTTTATGAATTTATATCAATGAATTAGTAAACTAACTACAAGGTAAGGAATGAACCAAATCTTAGCTGTGAAGCTGTTCGAGTAGAATGCCTCAGACAGCCTCTAAACTTCTGTCTAATCCTGTTTATTCATGTTGACCGAGCAGACACCGGAAGAGTTGATTCTCCTTCGTAGACAAACAACAGTCTGTGAAATTAATAACATATAATTTACATATGACTACAATCGGCTACATTAATACACGCTGAAAGGAGGATTGACTGATTAGGGGAATGCTTACTGATGTTTTTTGATTGTATCATTTAAGGGGGCGTTATTCCCAAAATATGCAATAAATGAAAACTCGTTCAATTTCAATCAAACTTTTTTCACAAGTTGTATATGAAAAGGGTTTCATTTGGTCCAAGTCTCAGCATCGTAGCATAAATAAGAAGGGAGAAAAAAATATTGAATTACGAGTCAAAAATTTTCCCAAATGGTCAAAAACGATTATCAAACAAAAATGTCAACTGAAATTGTGTCTATGACTCTCAGCTATCACAATAGCATATATTAAAAACAAATTATAAATAGTTTTATTAAAAAAAATTTAGTTAAAAAAAATGGCAAATTTTACTCTTTTATTTTTAATTTTTTCTTTCTCTTTTGTTTATAGGGCGATTTGCATGAAACTTATACAGCTGACTGCACGTTTGCCTATCTCCAAGGGTGCCAATTTTGGAGGAAATTGGTTGATGTCAACCTCAGCCACAGAGGGCAACACCTTAAACTTTATTTTTTACTTACTTTAATGTTTATGTTACTTGAAAATTATTATCTCTTTCATTTTTTATTTAATTTACATGAAACTTACACATTATATGTAAATTTTATGTCTCTAAAATCGTAAGAAAGCGTTTTATCCTGAGTTCATTTATTGACTTTATAATAGCAATAAACAATATATATTTGCATAATTTTGTGGGGGAACTTAAACTATTTGTATTAGAAAAACTAAAGATGTTTTGCAAAAGCCCTTTCAAGAGATCCTTTATTATATGTTAATGTGTCAGAAGAGTGTCATAGAATGATTATATCTGAAAGGTGTGGTTGTAAACTTATACTTGAAAATGTGTAAAATTCGTAGAAAAAAATACAAAAATTACAAATTTCCCTTACTATTTAGGCTACAGTACTGAAACTTAAAACAATTGCAGCCCTTTTCATATACAACAAGTCAAAAATAATGGTTGACACTGAAAAACAACTTCATTTACCCGAATACTGCTAACGATTGGACCTCCGCAACACAAGAGTATAATATAGCCACAAAATGTGTGTATTGGTACTTAGCCCAAACAAACACAGTGTCCTCAATGATGACTGAAGTCGTTCATAAAGTCTGGCATCCGGTAATGCTCGGATGTTCTCAAAAATAGACGACGGAGCAGAACAACTTCGGGACACTATTGACATGGCCTCTCTCTTCATCAAGTCTCTCAGCAAGTGGCTCGGGTTACAATGTCTTGTAATAGTTAAGTTACTTTGTCACTGAATCATTCCTGCAGACTCACGAGATCGCCTCAACCTCAAGCGAGGAATTGTCTTAATTCATGCAGAATTAAAATATTGTTTGAGTTTGAGTTTACACTGTTGCGCTGCAATCCTTGATGGATGAGTGCGAGGAGACACAGGACCAGTCCAAGATAAGGAAGGACTAGCGCGAGATTAGGAATGAGCGGGGCGAGGTGAGGCAGGTCCAGCGCGAGGAAACACAGGACCAGCACGAGGTGAGGCAAGACCATCACGAAGTGAGGTAGGACCAGCGTGAGGTGAGGCAAGACTAGCGAGAGGTAAGGCAGGACCAGCGCGAGGTGAGGCAGAACCAGTGCAAGGTGAGGCAGGACCGGCGCGAGGTGAGCCAAGACAAGCGCGAGTTGAGGCACGGCCAACGCGAGGTGAGGCAGGACCCGCGTGTGGTGAGGCTGGACACACGCGAAGTGAGGCAAGACAAGCGCGAGGTAAGGCAGAAAATTGCAAGGTGAGGCAGGACCAGCGCGAACTTAGGTAGGAAAAAAGCAATGTTTTTTTCCCATCACAGACGTGTCATCCATATAGTAAATACAAACCCGCTTGCATGCGAATGCCACGTTGCGTGAAAATTTCAAAGCAATCGGTGACGAACTTTCGTAGATTAACGATTTTGAACAAACAAACATTTACATTTTTATTTATATAGATTATTTTTTATTTATAGGATTTATTATTTAATCAAGATGTATTCCATGGGCCTCAGTGTTTATATATATCAGTGACCAGTTACCTGAACAAGCTTTAATTTAATACAACTAATGTCACTGATTGGGAGCCGGTCGGCCGAGCGGACAGCACACTGGGCTTGTGATCCTGTGGTCCTGGGTTCGATCCCAGGCGCCGGCGAGAAACAATGGGCAGAGTTTCTTTCACCCTATGCCCCTGTTAACTAGCAGTAAAATAGGTACCTGGGTGTTAGTCAGCTGTCACGGGCTGCTTCCTGGGGGTGGAGGCCTGGTCAAGGACCGGGCCGCGGGGACACTAAAGCCCCGAAATCATCTCAAGATAACCTCAAGATAAGATCCCACTGCAGTCCCAGAATCCGATATGACTGTAATAATAGTTCACATTCAGTCCTATAGGTTAAAAAAATGTAAATAGGCTAGAATTTTAGCCTCCCAAGAGTTAGTAGGGAAAGGAAATCGCCTAAGACATCCAACCCCTTGCTCCTCTAGTACAGGACATCCATCCTTCATGAACTGACGCACAAATGTGTGATAACTAACCACTAACATCAAATTAACCTAATAATTCTGAGGAGGATTATCAGTGTTCTTAAGTCCTAAGTAATGGACTTCAACCCATGTTTGGCCCCCTGCTGCTGGATTGTACTAATAAATTAACTCATAGAAAATGAGGCCCAGTAGAAAACGAGATGTCATTGTCACATGTCGTCATTAAATTCACCAGCTAATACTGTAATAGGAAACATTCTTACAATCCAAACAGTGTTTGGATTGTAAACCATCATAAAATCTTTTCTCTTGAATCAACTTAATTATCAGTACTGAAATCCAGTATATGTAAGCCCTCTAACCACTTTTGACATCAAGACAAGAGAGCAAGGATGTGTGAGGAAGGACAACACAGATATTGTCGGCCATTAATTTTAACATCCGTCGTTGGAGCAAATCTAGCTCCAATATTTCTCCCTTGGACTTTACATATGGGAGTAAAGTGTTTCCGTTATCAACACGCAACTCCATCTACTATCAAGAGAGGTGTCATTTATGATTCCTATATTATCTAGCTTATTAGAGGCCTTTAATATTTAGATTTAAGATATATTCCGGTTAGGACACGAGACAGCGACAAAATCAAGGTAAATATTCTTTGGTCTTTATCTCACAATCAATATACTCTATTTCATACATATAACAACAATAAGATCGGGCCTCCCATTTTTGTTAATAATATATATTTTCTAATACTGTTGTGAATGTTAACTAATCAATAATTTATATTTTTGACTAAATAAATAAACCATAAAACCCTCAGAATGTGTAAGGAAACGACTTGTGAGACATTTTATGAAATACAGACCACTTTAACCCTCACAGGTTGCTATCGAAATATATATAGATAACGTAAAATAAAAAATACTATATAAATTAATATAAATTGAATAAATATAAATATAAATATAATTCCAAAACGGAACCAGCATGAGGTGAGGCAGGTCCAGCACAAGGTGAGGTAGGATCTGTGAGAAGTGAGGCAGGGCCTGCACAGGGTGAGGCATGCCCAGTGAGAGGTGAGGCAGGACCAGCACGAGGATAGGAAGGACCTGCGCGAGGTGCGGCAGGTCCAGCACAAGGTGAGGCAGCACCAGCGCGAGGTGAGGCAGGACCGGCACGAGGTGAGGTAGGACCGGCACGAGGTGAGGCAGGACCAGCGCGAGGTGAGAAAGGACCAGCGGGAGGTGAGGCAGGACCAGCGCGAGGAGAGGCAGGCCCAGCGCGAGGAGTGGCTGGACCAGCGGGAGGTGAGGCAGGACCAGCGCGAGGAGAGGCAGGCCCAGCGCGAGGTGAGGCAGCACCAGCGCGAGGTGAGGCAGCACCAGCGCGAGGTGAGGCAGGACCAGCGCGAGGTGAGGCAGGATCAGCGCGAGGTGAGGCAGGACCAGCGCGAGGTGAGGCAGGACCAGCGCGAGGTGAGGCAGGACCAGCGCGAGGTGAGGCAGGACCAGCACGAGGTGAGAAAGGACCAGCGGGAGGTGAGGCAGGACCAGCGCGAGGAGAGGAAGGCCCAGCGCGAGGAGTGGCTGGACCAGCGGGAGGTGAGGCAGGACCAGCGCGAGGAGAGGCAGGCCCAGCGCGAGGTGAGGCAGCACCAGCGCGAGGTGAGGCAGCACCAGCGCGAGGTGAGGCAGGACCAGCGCGAGGTGAGGCAGGACCAGCGCGAGGTGAGGCAGGACCAGCGCGAGGTGAGGCAGGACCAGCGCGAGGTGAGGCAGGACCAGCGCGAGGTGAGGCAGGACCAGCACGAGGTGAGAAAGGACCAGCGGGAGGAGAGGAAGGCCCAGCGCGAGGAGTGGCTGGACCAGCGGGAGGTGAGGCAGGACCAGCGCGAGGAGAGGCAGGCCCAGCGCGAGGTGAGGCAGCACCAGCGCGAGGTGAGGCAGCACCAGAGCGAGGTGAGGCAGCACCAGCGCGAGGTGAGGCAGGACCAGCGCGAGGTGAGGCAGGACCAGCGCTAGGTGAGGCAGGACCAGCGCGAGGTGAGGCAGGACCAGCGCGAGGTGAGGCAGGACCAGCGCGAGGTGAGGCAGGACCAGCGCGAGGTGAGGCAGGACCGGCACGAGGTGAGGTAGGACCGGCACGAGGTGAGGCAGGACCAGCGCGAGGAGAGGCAGGAGAAACGCGAGGAGTGGCTGGACCAGCGGGAGGTAAGGCAGGACCAGCGCGAGGTGAGGCATGACCAGTGCGAGGAGAGCAGGACCAGCGCGAGGTGAGGCAGGACCAGCGCGAGGTGAGGCAGGACCAGCGCGAGGTGAGGCAGGACCAGCGCGAGGTGAGGCAGGACCAGCGCGAGGTGAGGCAGGACCAGCGCGAGGTGAGGCAGGACCAGCGCGAGGTGAGGCAGCAGGACCAGCACGAGGTGAGAAAGGACCAGCGGGAGGTGAGGCAGGACCAGCGCGAGGAGAGGAAGGCCCAGCGCGAGGAGAGGCAGGCCCAGCGCGAGGAGTGGCTGGACCAGCGGGAGGTGAGGCAGGACCAGCGCGAGGAGAGGCAGGCCCAGCGCGAGGTGAGGCAGCACCAGCGCGAGGTGAGGCAGAGCGAGGTGAGGCAGCACCAGCGCGAGGTGAGGCAGGACCGGCACAAGGTGAGGCAGGACCAGCGTGAGGAGAAGAAGGACCAGCGCGAGGTGAGACAGGACCAGAGCGATGTGAGGCAGGACAGACGCGAGGTGAGGCATGACCAGTGCGAGGTGAGGCAGGACCAGCGCGAGGTGAGGCCGGAGCAGCGCGAGGTGAGGCAGGACCAGCGCGAGGTGAGGCAGGACCAGCGCGAGGTGAGGCAGGAGCAGCGCGAGGTGAGGCAGGACCAGCGCGAGGTGAGGCAGGACCAGCGCGATGTGAGGCAGGACAGACGCGAGGTGAGGCAGGAGCAGCGCGAGGTGAGGCAGGAGCAGCGCGAGGTGAGGCAGGACCAGCGCGAGGTGAGGCAGGACCAGCGCCAGGCTCCATCAATCAGTCGCTAACAGGCCAGCAGAGGGTGTGGACGTGCAGCTGTCTGGCGGACGCTGAGTCAGTGAGTTTACACCACTAGTACTCCGCTATTGTCTCTACTAAATATTTTATCAACTGCTTGTAACTTTAGTTATTATTTTACTATATTTTGCTGTAAATTATTATCTGTAATTATTAGATAATAGTTTACTGTTAGAAATTATTTTATATTAACTATGATGTTTGCACACGTAATTAATTTTATAATAATTTTTTTAGCAAATGAAGATGGAGTGAGAAGAGTGGTTATAGTTAGCTCACATTGGGAGTCAACACCTCACCTGTCAAAGTTATCACAGTAGCACGCAGTGGGAGTAAACACGTAACCTGTCATAGTTAGCACAAGAGCACACAGCACACATAAACACAACCACAACAGCACACAGTGGGAGTAACACGTCCCTCTGAGTAAAGTCCCTGAATACTCCCAGTGGGAGTAAACACATAAACAGCAATATTGCAGAGCCAGGTAATATAAACAATGAGAGCATCTGAAGGAAAGAGTGAATAAACGAATGAATTGGGACTTAAATCGGTGATGACTCCAATAAAGAAGCGGCCAAATCAGGCACAGGTATAAATAACCTGGAGAAAATAAAAACTGGGAATATTTGCAAATTGTGTGTACAAGGCATCTGCAAATATGGGAAAAATGGCATAAAATGCACTTTTCTGCATCCTCGAGAATGCAGGAGCATGTTGGCGAGGGGTACATGCCGTTTTGGAACAGAGTGCAGATACTTACACCCTAAACTATGTAAATTTTCGGTAAATGAAAAAAAAGTTCAGTGCAATCTTCAGTGCCTGGAATTCCATGTGAGAATTGCACAGCAGTATAGACTGGAAGATCAATATGATAGTATTGGAATTTTTTTAGAGGAAGGCAGAAACAGAGTAGAACATATTAGAGAGAGGAACAGTCAGATAGAACGACTGCAGGATTACGGAGAGGGAGGGAGATATCGACAAGACTGGAATACAAGTCATCAACAAGCACACAGATACTACACCACACATCACCCGTACTACTACCAACACTGGACGAACCACTACCAAAACAGCACACCCCGGACCAGGATGGAGAGGGGGAGAACTACCAAAGTCCACAAGAAGTGACACGCAACATGGGAAATCATTCATATTTGCCAACATACAAGGCCTAAAGTCAAAATCAAGAATAAAGTTATGTACTTAAATGGCCTTCTAATAGAAACGAACTTAATATTTGGTACATTTACAGAAACCGACATGAAAGACTATATGGATAGCGAAATATGGATCTCCAATTATAATCTATATAGATGTTACAGAGTAATTAGGTCAAGTGGAGGAGTAGGTGTGTATATTGAAGAGGAACATGCATGCACAGAGCTCCTGAACTCGACCAATGAGGTGGTAGAGCTACTTTGAATCAACTTAGTAAATATAAATATAATTAATATTCTAATATATAAACCGCCAGATGCAATAGTTGAGGAATTCACTGAGCAGATACACAAAATAAGGACTATTCCTGTTAACCTAGCAAACCCAGTAACATATATTATCTTTTTTTGGAGACTGTAGAATAGTAAACAATAACAACAATGATGAGCTAATCACAGATATTACAATCTCAGACGCTACAGACTCGGACCACAAGATTATTGAAGTGCAAACTAACATTAATAACGGTAGTGGGCCCAAGAGAAACAACAATCGAGAAAGGTTATTCAGTAAATTCAATTTCATTAATAAAAGGATAGACTGGGAGAAAATAAACTGGGACCTTACAAACATTCAATAAGAAACTGTTCTAAGTAATAAAAATCCTACACAAGGAATAGAAAGAGTAACTTCTGACGCATATGAAGTCTTCCTGAAACATGTGCCATTGAGGAAGGAAAACCAGAAATAAGTCCAATGTAGAAAGAGACCGCAGACGGCACTACAAAAGAAAAAAATAACGGAAGTGCTTAAGCGGACACGACTCTCCATACAAAGAAGGAATAATTTAAACAGGGAAATTGAAGAAATCGATCAGAGACTGAAGCATTCATATCAGATTGAATAAAGGCAACTAGAACAGAAAGCAATTCAAGAATTAAAGAAAAAACGCAAATATTTCTTCACTTATGCGAAATGAAAAACAAAAATCACTGCCAGTATTGGACCTATTCCTACAAGTGAAGGTTCATATACAGAGGATGACAAAGAAATCAGTGAAATCCTAAAAAAAAACAGTATAAGGACATGCTTTGCACTCCAAAAAAACAGCTGATATCAATATGAGTGTGGCAGATTTTGAAAGGGAAATTGACAACATGCCCATGAACTTAGCCCCCGGGTCCATGATGGAATTAAATTTTTATAAAGAAATGCAAGGTGCCAGTAGCACAGGCACTCAGTATAGTGTGAAGGAAGAGCATGGACACGGGGGAGATACCAGATGCACTTAAATCAGCAGACTTAGTTCCTCTACACAAGGGAGGGAGCAAAGCATTGGCAAAGAATTATTGACTAATTGCACTAACGTTCTGCATAATAAAAGAATTTGAGAGAGTGATCAGGAGTCAGGTCTCTATTTTCATGAAAACCAATGACCTCCACAACCCAGGCCAACATGGATCTAGAGTTGGAAGATAACCCCTCTCACAGCTACTTGACCATTACGACAAAATCACTGAGACATTAGAAGAAAACTAGAATGAAAATATGATATACACGGACTTTACAAAGGTATTTGATAAATGTGACCATGGAGTGATAGCACACAAAATGAGGTCAATGGAAAAAACTAGTAAAGTAGGACGCTGGATACTCAGTATTCTGTCGAACAGAACACAAAGAGTAACAGTCAACCAAATAAAATCGAGTCCAAGTGCAGTTAAAAGCTCTGCACCTCAGGGTACAGTCCTTGCACCACTCCTTTTCTCTTATTCTCATATCAGATTTAGACTCAAATACAAGACAGAGCTTCGTATCATCCTTTGCAGATGACACAAAAATCAGCATGGAAATTACCTCTGTTGAAGACATTGCAAAACTACAAGAAGATATTAATAAAGTTTTCGTCTGGGCAACAGACAATAAAATGATGTTTAACAGTGATAAATTCCAGGTACTCAGGAACAGGAAAAATGAGGACCTTAGATATAATAGAGGATACAAAACGCAATCAAATCCGACCATAGTAGGAAAACAGCATGTAAAGGATTTGGGAATAATGATGTCTGACAACATAACGTTTGGGGAGCATAAACAAGCAAATATTGCATCATCCAGAAAAAATGATAGGATGGATTACGAGAACTTTCAAATCCAGGGATCCCATCACCATGGTTGTACTCTTCAAATTACTTATGTTCTCCCGTCTTCAGTACTGCTCAGTACTCACTTCCCCTTTCAAAGCATGAGAGATTGCTGAAATAGATGGAATAAAGAGAACATATACGGCACACAAAAAGGCAATGAAGCACCTAAATTATTGGGATCATTTCAAAGCTTTCCAAATGTACTCACCAGAAAGGAGAGGAGAGAGATATCAAATAATATATACGTGGAAAATACTGGAGGACCAGGTCCCAAATTTACTTAGTAAAATAACAACATACTGGAGTAAACGATATGTAAGAAAATGCAGAATAGAACCAGTGAAGTGCAGGGGGGGGGGGGGGCATTAGCATAATTAGAGAACGCTGTGTAAACATCAGAGGTCCACAGTTGTTCAACATCTTCCTAACGAACATAAGAAATATTGCCGAAACAACCGTGCGACATCTTCAAGAGAAAACTAGATAGTTTTCTTCAAGAAGTGCCGGACCAATCGGGCTGTGGTGGATACGCGGCCTGAGGGCAGCTGCAAGCAACAGCCTGTTGGACAAAACTCTCACAAGTCAACCTGGCCTCGGGCCGAACATGATGAGTAGAAGAACACCCATAATCCCATAAAGCAGGTATCACCTGTCAAACGTAGCATAGAAGCAAACAGTGGGAGTAAACACGTATCTTGTCAAAGTTAGCACAACACACAGTGGGAGTAAACACAACTCCTGTCAAAGTTACCACACCAGCACACAGTGGGAGTAAACACAGCCACTATGCAATTTAGCACAACAGCACACACTGGGAGTAAACACAGCATCTGTCTCAATAAGCACATCACACAGTGGGAGTAAACACAACATCTGTACACGTTAGCATAACAACACACACTGGGACTTAACGTGTTACCTGTTAAAATTAGCTCAACCGGATACAGTGGGAGTAAACACCTCACTTGCCAAAGTTACCACAACAGCACACAGTGGGAGTAAACACATCACTTGTCATAATTACCACAGCAGCACACAGAGGGAGTAAACACATCACTTGTCAAAGTTACCACAACAGCACACAGTGGGAGTAAACAATTCACCTGTCAAAGTTACCACAATACACACTGTGGGAGTAAAGACATCACCTCTCAAAGGTACCACAACAGCACAGAGTGGGAGTAAATACATCACCTGTTAAAGTTAGCACAATAGTACACAGTAGGAATAAACACCTCACCTATCAAAATTACCACAACAGCACACAGTGGGAGTAAACACATCACCTGTTAAAGTTACCAAAACGTTTTTACCTGTCACAGGTGTGGCATATATATAGTATGTATATAAAAACACATCACGCGTTTTAATGGAACGTTGTGTAAAAATTTCAAAACAATCGATGAAGAACTTTCACAGATTATAGTGTGTGTTGCTTTTACGTGCAACAGATGGTGCAGTTTAAAAAAATTTTTTACCGGTCACAGGTGTGACATGTATATAATATGTATATAAAAACACGCTCGTATGCAAATGGAACGTTGTGTCAAAATTTCAAAGCAATCGGTCAAGAACTTTCGGAGATTAGTAATTTTGAACAAACGAACATATACATTTTCATTTATATACTAGCTGTA